ACAAAATTTTGTAAACAAATGACACACTATATGAAATGGCAGAAGGTTGTATATGTTTATGTTTTTGTTTGTTTTTGTCTGGGTTAAAAAAATTAAAAAAACTTTTTTAAAAAAAAAAAGAAGTGACAAAAGATTCATGTAGAACATAGTTTAAAAAATTAAGGTGCCAAAAAAGATTTCATATACAGCAAATCTAACTAACATTTTAAATGTTCCATAAAAAAATATCAGAAGTAGCACCAAATACACACAGATGCACACACCCGTGTATAGCAAATAACTTCCTAAAATGTTAACAACCCCCTGAATTCCTGGCAAGTTAATTTTCAATTTTTTTAAAAAAAGGCTTGAAAGATATTCAAAATTATTGGCCCTGTCATGCCTTAGAATTCAATATTTTTTTTGTTAAGAGAAGTCTGGTTGAAAAAGAATGTTTTGTACTTCTGTTAAACATATAAAGACCTAGGGCCACACACCCAGTGTTTAGAAACTATAATTTACCTACAATAACATAGAAATTTTTCTCCCTTCAGAGAGATGAGCCGTAACAGAATTAAAAAAATAGATGGACTTACTTTTCAAGGACTGCCTTCTTTGAAATCATTAAAAATACAGAAAAATGGGCTTGTTTGGCTCATGGATGGAGCTTTTTGGGGATTAAGTAACATGGAAATTCTGTAAGTGCATATTTTCAGTTTTCAAGAAAGTACCATTCTGAGTATTACAATTAATTTTGTTTGAGGATATTTTGTTCACAAAATATTTATGTACAAAATGCAAAATGATAATTTTTTTCTAGCTTGTTTTTATGAGAATGATACTTGATATCTTTTTAATGGTTAAAACTTACAGCTATAAATTGGTTTTTCATTTTGTATTCTTAGACAGCTGGATCATAACAACCTAACAGAAATTTCCAAAGGCTGGCTTTATGGCTTGTTGATGTTACAGCAGCTTCATCTCAGCCAAAATGCAATCAGCAGGATCAAACCTGATGCCTGGGAGTTTTGCCAAAAACTCAGTGAGCTGTAAGTAGTGTTTGTGTGTTTAGCTCTCCTCTATTTTAAAAGTAGGGTGCAGGCCAAAGTATGACTGAAAGAACAACTTCACATGATGACAGTACATTTGCTTTTATGAATTCATTGAACTCATTGATGCTTTATTGTAAGAACCTGAAGCCAATTATGTTTCTTTGTACCAGTAGCAGTTGGACTTTGTATTGTAATTTCAAATAAGAGAAACTAATTCTGCAATAATATTACATGTCATGGAAAATAAGCCACAAACTTGAATTAAAAATAAATTATTCTGAAACTAATTAAGAAGTTATATTCTCAACTTGAATGTTTTGCTTATGCTGATTTAAAACAATATTCATCCCCATTTTTTTAAATTTTCAGTGATTTAACTTACAATAATTTAGCAAAACTAGACGATTCAAACTTTGTTGGTTTAAGCCTACTGGTAAGGCTGGATATCGGGAACAACAAAGTCAGCTACATTGCAGATTGTGCCTTCCGGGGACTGTCCAGTTTACAAACTCTGTAAGTTTCAAGAAAACTTATTTAAAGATCTATCTATCTATCTATCTATCTATCTATCTATCTATCTATCTATCTATCTATCTATCTATCTATCTATCTATCTATCTATCTATC